CAAAACTCAAAAGAAGAAATAAAATCGATTACTAAATTAGGATAAACGGATTTCACTCCAGGCCTAAAAATCTAGCCATTCAATTGTGACCGAGTTATTGAAGATAATACAAAGAACCGAGACCGAAACAATGATACATAGAAAACCTAGTCCTGAATACTCTTTGGCTTAAAAAATTAAAAAGAAAAACCAATCCAGAAAATCAGCAAAATTATGAGGAATTTTAAATGAAACAAAAAAATCCAAAGGAAAATCGATAAATCTCTCGAGGTCGATGGATTTCATCACTGACCCCAAATTCTTGTCATTAACTTAAAACCAAAATATTTTTAAGTAATGCCAAGAACTAAGATAGATAAATGAAACCTTAAAACACTTAACCACGATTATCCTAGTGCAAAACAATGTAAAGAACCATGATAAATACAAGAATACGTTAAAACTCTAGACTATGAATATCATTTTGGCTTATAAATTTAAAAAGGAATTTCGACTAAAAGAGTACAAAGAATATTAATAATTTCAAATCAAACAAATAAAATCGATCAAAAAATTGACCAGGTATTGAGGATCTACATGTCGCACCCCTGCACCTAAAATCTAGTTAATAAATTGAAACATAAGTTACGCTAGAGAATACATATCACTGTGAAAGATGAAAGGATGTACCAAAAAACTAAGTCATGAATATCCCTAGGCTAAAAAATAAAAAAGAAAATCAAGTAAAACGTCGAACAAAGTTATGAACAATTTCAACTGAAACACAAAAAAACTAAGTAATGAATATCCTTAAACTACAAAACAAAAATCAGATGAAAAGTTGAACAAAGTTATGAACTATTTCAACTGAAACACAAAAGATCGTAAGATAAATGGACTTATAAATAAGGATCTACAGATTTCATTACTAACCCAAAGTTGTTCTATTAATTGAAAAAATAAAAAGAACTAAGGAAAATGAAATAGTACTGAAAAACTAACCAACGAATATCTTTTGGATTGCAACAATAAAAAGAAATGACAACCCGTAACATAAATAAAATATTAAAAATTTCAAATCAAATAATAAAAATTGAAGGAAAAAATGACAAGTACATAAAGGATCTACGAATTTTACCCCCGAACCGAAAGTCTAATTATTGAGTTAAGACACATCCTAGGCTAAACAATACAAAGAATCAGGGCGAATAAAAGGACACTTGAAATCAATTACGAACTATGGTTTAGGATTATAAAACTAAAAAAAATATCAATTAAACCAACAAATTATGTATTGATTGTAATAAAAAAACCAAATGAGGAAATAAGATCAACAACTGAATTGCAAAAATACGGATTTCACCCCTAACCATGCCAAAATCTAGTCATTGAATTAAGACCTAGTTAATGAAGATAGTACAAAGAAGCGTGACAGAAAAATTGATACATAAAAAACATAGTCATGAATACTCTTTAGCTTAGAAAATTGAAAAGAAACGTCAATCCATAACTTTTACTCCCCCCGATTCTTGGCATTGTTTAGCCCAAGTTACCTCTTAACACAATAACTAGAATTTGAGGTCAAGAGTGAATTTGGAATAAGATATTTCCCTTTAATTTTCGATGTTTGATTTAAAATTATCAATACTTTATTCACATTACAGGTTATTATTTCTTCTTATTATCACAAGCAAAAAGATATTCATAAGTTAGTCTTTTAATATAACATTTCAATTTCTTTGGTTATTTTTATTGGTTAGCATTGGTTATTTTTCAATTTAATACAACTTTGGGGTCAGAGGTAAAATCGGTAGGTCCTTAATTATAAGTTCATTTACCATTCGATATTTTGTGTTTTAGTTGAAATTATTCATAACTTTGTTAGACTTTTTACTTGATATTGTTTTTTATTTTTATGCTTAAGAATAGTCATGACTGAGTTGTTTTGCACATCCTTTCATCTTTTATGGTGACATGTATCCTCCAACTTATGTTTCAATTTATTATCTAGACTTTGGAGACAAAGGTGAAATCTGTAGATTCCCTTTAACTCGTCAATTTTTCAACTGTTTTTCTTTGTTTGATTTTAAGTTATCCATAGTTTGCTCACTCATTTTGTTGATATTCTTTTTTAAAATTTTAAGCCAAAAAACTATTCATGGTCGAGATTATTAGCCTACTCTTGTATTTGTCGTGGTTCTTTACAGTATTTGGCACTAGGATATTTGTGGCTAACTCAGTCACGAACTATAGTTTAGGATTATAAAACTAAAAAAAATACTAATTAGGCCAACAAAACTATGTATCGTTTCGAATAAAAAAACAAAAGAGGAAATAAAATTGGCTTCTAAATTGGGATATACAGATTTCACCCCTGACCCCAACATCTAGTCATTGAATTATGACATAGTTATTGAAGATAATACAAAGAACCAAGATAGAAACAAAGATACCTTAAAAAACTAGTCATGAGTACTCTTTGGCTAAAAAGTTGTAAAGAAACATGAATCTATGAATTTTAACAAAATTACTAGAAATTTTAAATGAAACAAAGAAAATCTGAAAGAAAATCGACAAATCTTTGGGGGTCAATAGGTTTTACCCCGAACCCAAATTCTTGTCAGTGACTTGAAACCAAAATATTACCAAATATTGCAAAGAAGCTAGATGGATAAAAGGAGATCTTAAAACACATACACAAATATTCTTGTGCCAGACAATGCAAAGAACCACGACAAATAAATAGGTACATTAAAAATCTCGACCATGAATATCATTGTGCAATAAAATTTTTAAAAAGAATATAAATTGAAAGATTAAAAATACTACAGATAACTTCATATCAAACACAAAAATTTAATATAAAAATTGGTCAGTTAATGGGGATCAACAGATTTCACTCTTACTCCAAAGTTTAGTCAATAAATTGAAACAAACACAAGACCATAAAGGCAAAAGGAAGTACTAAAAACCTAAGTAATGAAATATCCTTAGGCTTAAAAATAAGAAAAGCTGTCATATAAAAAGTGAAACAAAATTATGAATAATTTCAACAAAAACACAAAAAGATTGAAAGTTAAATAGACTTATAAATAAAGATCTACATATTTCACCCCTGACCCCAAAGTTGTTTTATTAAATCGAAGCATAACCAATGCTAACCAACAAAAAGAACCAAGGAAAATAAAATGGTATATTAAAAAACTAACCAACAAATACTTTTTGTCATACAATAATAAATATAAATAATAAACCGTAATATTAATAAAGTAATGATAATTTCAAATGAAACAACAAAAATGGAAAGGAAAAATGACAAGTTTATGAAGGAACTCGAATTTCAGCCATAACCCCAAAATCTAATTATTGAGTTAAGACATCTTAGGTCTAACAATACAATGAATCGATGCGAGTAAAAATATACTAGAAATAACTCAGTTACGAACAATCGATTAGGATTTTAAAACTAAAAGTATATCAATTAAGATAACAAAATTATGTATCGTTTTGAATCTAAATACCAAAAGAGAAAATAAAATCGACAACTAAATTGGGATATACAGATTTCACCCCACCCCAACATCTAATCATTGAATTATGACCTAGTTATTGAAGATAATACAAAGAACCGAGATAAAAACAATGATACATATAAATCTTAGTGATGAATACTATTTAGCTTTAAAAAAATGAAAAGAAACATGAATCCATAAATTCAAGTAAAACAACAGACGAAGTTATGAATAATTTTAACTGAAACACAAAAGATCGAAAGGCAAATGAACTTATAAATCTGGATCCATGGATTTCACACAACCCCAAATTGTTATATTAAATCGAAACATAAAATCTATAAAAAAATTGACCAATTAATAGGGATCTACGGATTTTACATCTGCCCCCAAAGTCTAGTCAATAATTTGAAAAATAAGTTATGCTAGACAATGCACGCAACCATAAAAGATGAAAGGATGTACTAAACAAACTAAGTAATTAATATCTTTATGCTTAAACATTAAAAGGAATATCAAGATAAAAGTCAGACCAAGTTATGAATAATTTTAACTAAAAGACAAAAGATCGAAAGGTAAATGGACTTATAAATAAGGATCCACAGATTTTACCTGACCCCAAAAAAAATTATTAAATTGAAACATAAGTAATGTCAACCAATAAAAAACCAAAGGAAAATGAAAGGATATATTAAAAAACTAAGATATGAATATAATTTAACTCACAATAATAAAAAATAATAATAACCCATAATGTTTATAAAGTATTTGATAATTCCAAATCAAACAACAAAAACTGAAAGGAAAAATGACAAATTCATGAAGGACCTACGGATTTCACCCCTGACGCCAAAGTCTAGTTATTGAGTTAAGATATATCTTAGGCTTAACAATGCAAAGATCTAAGGCGAGTAAATAACACTTGAAACAACTCAGTTATGAACTATCGTTTAAAATTATAAAGCTAACAAAGTACCAATTAGGTTAACAAAATTACGCATTGTTTCAAATCAAAGAACCAAAAAAGAAAATAAAATCGGTTACTAAATTGGGATATACGGATTTCACCCTTAATACCAAAAGCTAGACATTAAATGAAGACCTAGTTACTAAAGATAATACAAAGAACCAAGACAGAAACAATGATATATAAAAAACTTAATCATGAGTACTCTTTGGCTTAAAAAATTGAAAAAAAACACCAATTATGAAGAATTTTAAATGAAACAAAATAAATCTAAAGGAAAATCTACAAATCTCTGTGGGTTGACGGATTTTACCCATGGCCCCAAAGTCTTATTAGGGAGTTAAAATCAAAATATTGTCAATTAATGCAAAAAACCAAGATGGAATCAAGCTATCTTTAATGCTAGGCAAATGAATCAAAAAAAAAAGAAAATAAGTTAATAAAAGTTCTATGTGAACTATGTATCATTAGCTTTCTCAAAATTTCTAGTTTTCTGACAAGAAGGGTATTTATCAAGTTGAGTTTGGCTAATGAAGAAGTACCTGGAATGAAATCCGATTGATGAGATCACTTGCGGACAGATCACGGCTAGGATCATCTGTGTAATGTCCAAAAAGATCAGCACTGGATATGGATGTCAAGCTCTACACAAAGCATCGACCAATTACTAAACACAAGATGAAAGAGAAAATAAAATTATCGAGAAACTTAGTGATTCGAATGTGGAGAAAAAAGTTATAACCTGATGTTGTCTGCAAGATGTCTTGCAACATTTGAATGCTGCCTAAAAAGGAGAAAAACTAGCCCAAGCATTCATAAGGGCACATATTTTGTTAGGTCATTGTGTCCATTGAGATAATGTCAAACAAAATCTGAATTTTTGGGAAAGACTTAAGAATTACTAGATGATTCCTCTCAGAAAAAAAATTTGAAATTTGAGTTTTCTAACACTTAAACCTTGCCATCTAAAAATTAATAGTCTCTATTCATTCTCAGGACATTGTTTTTTCAAGTGCATAGTGGGTATGATAAGGATCTTTTTTAGTCTATGGATTGAAGGGGTTACATTCCCCAAATTTGGGGTCCTAAAACTAATTCTAGGTGGGGTTGTACCCGAGGGAGTTAATAGACATTCTACTCCCATAGGAATAGAATATCATTTAGCCAAAAACACAAAGGCCAATTCCAACAAGAAGGAGAGTTGCTTAGAATAAGGAAAAAACATTTTTTTTTAAAGGGTAATGGACAACTCTTAGTTGATCAGTGGAGTTACAAACGTCTGTCACACTCAAATAGTGGAGTAAACCATGCTGGGCAAGTTTTCACTAAATGGGAGTAGTAAAAAACGTGTATATGAATGTGTAGATATGGGTGTATGCATGTGTGTGTGTGATATGTACTGCACATGCACAAACACACAAATAATAGGGGACGAGGAAGAGAGAGGAAGCATATTGACAACTTTTGCTAGCAGATTTGGGAAGAAGCATCACTTTTGATCCCCAAAGAACTCAGTTGATGAAATAGATTTTGCATTAGAAAACTTTTGTTGGGCTTCGTTGGTTTCCTCAACCTGCAGTCAACAACTACCTAGTCACATGCTAAAGATTATTGTAACAAAAAATGACACAGTCATCTAAGGGAAGAAATAATTAATATCAGTTCAAAATGCAAACAAAATTGTTAGAGCTCCAATTGGAGAGGAAAACAATAATATATTATATTGACGCTAATAGAAATTATAGGCTAAAATCGCTTTTTCAAAATTTGAAAAGCTCCAAAGAATTTAATTGTGACACCAGAGATCAGGTACGCCTCACATGTTAGGTCTACAAAATTTAAAAAGATAAAAACAAGGTAAGCACTACTAAGTTATGAATCATATACTTCACAATGGGAAAGGGGTATGTGTACACGTGCTAATTCCTAGAATGTAGGTTCTTTTGGTTACGTTCTAAGATAGCTTTTGTCATGGTTGGTTTGAAGGACAGGATATTTGAACAAAAATTTTAAGCTGAACTCCATTAACAAATACACTAAACCATGTGAAAGAGCACATGAATCATCTAAATTGGCCAAAGTGGGGTGGGACTTCCTTTGCAGAGTGTTCCAAAAAAGAATGGTAAACCAGCACCTCAATAATCAGAAATTAGCCAAGTGATAGAGAGAATTAACAATTAGAATTGTGCTAAATATAAAAGAAGCATTAAAAGAAAAACATTGAGGTTATATCATAGAGGATGCGGAAGGACATCTTTCTAAAGAACTATAATTATTCAACTGCTTTAGACGAGTCACTCAGAGCATTGTTGGCACAAAAC